CGACGACGACGACGATGATGGTGATGGTGATGGTGATGGTGATGGTGATGGTGATGGTGATGGTGATGGTGATGATGATGATGCTGATGATGATGATGATGATGATGATGTGGTGATGGTGATGGTGATGGTGATGGTGCTTGTTCTGGGGATGGTAATGACTACGACGATGCCGACGATGAAGAGGAGAAGGAGGAGGAGGAGGAAGAGAAGGATGAGCGGGAGGAGGGGAAGAGGAGGAGGAGGAGAAGCAGGAGGAGGAGAAGCAGGAGGAGGAGAACGACGACGACGACGACGACGACGACGACGACGACGACGACGGCGGCGGCGGCGGCGGCGGCGGCGGCGGCGGCGGCGGCGACGCTGAGCCGCCCCGAGCGGGAGGCGGCCGACCAGAGGCGCGGAGGCCGCCCGCCTGGACTCGACGTCGGCAGGCGCGTCCGCCCGGGCGAGGCGGCTCCTCCAGCAGGTGGCGGTGTTGGGGCGCCAGGGGCGCGCGGCAGAAGGGAGGGCGAGGCAGACGAGGACGAGGGATGAGGACGACGACGAGGAGGAGGACAAGGAGGAGGGGGAGGCGAAGGACAAGGGAGGAGGAGGACGAGGAGGACGAGGACGAGGACGAGGGAGGACGAGGACGAGGGAGGAGGACGACGACGAGGAGGACGAGGAGGGGGAGGAGGACCAGAAGGGCGAGGCCCTGGCCGGGCCGGGAGGGCGAGGAGAAGCCGGGCAGGAGGAGCCGGAGGGTCGAGCACGACACGTCGCGACGCTGGCGGCGAAGGGGAGGCCAGGGAGGGCGGTGCGGGCTGGGGGAACGGAGAGGGGCGGTGCGGAGCCAGGGGGGGGCGGCCGAGGTGCCGCCCGCCCGCTCACTAGAAAGGGCGGGCTCTGCGGAGCTGCCCGCGGGGAGGGTGCAACTCCCCCCTTGGCTGCCCCGGCAGCCTCGCGGCGTGGGAGCAGCGCGGCGGGAGGTCTGTGTGGCCATCCTCGGCGCAGGCGAGCTGGGGACGGAGGGACCGTCCCGGGGAAGGGGCCCGGACCTCGGGGGAGCCACGCCGCGAGAAGACCGGGCGTCGGACGTCTGGGTGGCGAAGGCTGTGCCCTCTGGGAGAAGGGAGCTCCGGCCAAGCCTGGCTCGCGCCCTCCTCCCTGGTCAGGTCGGGGCTTCCCTCGTCCGCGGCACGCTCGGGCCTCTGGCGAGGTGGCTTCAAGATTCGAGGATCGAGGTCTTCGGACCTCTTGTCGCCCTTACTCTCGGGGGGTCGTCAGCGGACCCTCTCACCGATCCTGACCGGGCCCGTCTTGGGCGCGGGATCCGTGCGCACGCCCCCCTTGGCTTGGCCAGGAGGGCACACCGATCCTGAATCGGGGATCTTCTGACCCGGGTCAATCCAAACCCGGATCAGCAGGAAACCAAAAACTGCAATGCAGGAAAAAAAACTGCAACGCAAATCCTCGCAAACCCGGGTCAGCCAATACGAGCGGCCGCCTCGCGGCCACGAGCGGCTCACTAACCCGGGTCAGCTAGAGGGGGTCTTCGCAGGATCCTGCAGGATCTGGCGCCCTGGCTGACCCCCGTTTGCATTGACCCCCGTCTCAAGGCTCCCGACTGAGCCCAGGAAAGGCCAGACCGGCATCGGTGTGAGCAGTCAGTCGGCGTCCCCCGAAAGCGGCTCGAGGTTCGAATAGCGCGGCTGTCCAGGTTGTTGTCGCACTTTGTTGGCCTCTGGGGGGGCTCTCGTCGCCACAGCCAGCTTCCCCTTGTGGCTCTGGCCACATAACCCCAGATGAAGAGGAGGAGGAGGGGGAGGAGCAGGAACAGCGATAACCCACGACGCATCAACGATGTTGCAATAGACCCTCCCTCCAAGTTCCCACATCATAGATCCGTACAAAAAATACTTGCATTGCGGGAAGTTCCCCTCTGAAAGACATCCGTCTGAGGATCCCCAATCGAAACGAAGCACCATTCCTGGGACTTCAACGCCGCGAACCAATCTGACGGTTGCGTCCTGACAGTCCTGATCGCGCCAGAACACCATTCCTGGGACTTCGATACCGAGAGTCAGCGTGACAGCTGCGTCCTGGCAGTCCTTAACCGCGCCGGAGCATCATTATTGGGCATCAAACCTTACAAGCCCTGCAGTCCGCTGCAAACTCTTGAAGCGACTGTCCGCGGCACTAAGAGCGAGAGCAACACTTTTTTATAAAAGAACCGACCTCCGTCCTTGAGACTGCTGCAACCTTTGAACAGGAATACGCGCGACGCTCAGGGGAGAGCCACAGCTTGAAGAAGGCTCGCTCTCCAGCCTTGAAGCTGCTGCCAGCTATAAAAACATGCGCGCGACGCTAAGGCGAGAGCCACATTGTGAGAACGGCCCGCCCTCCGTCCTGGCCACCGCTGGAAACTTTGAAAGAGAATGCGCGCGGAGCCAAGGCGAGGGCCACATTTCACGAACCAGCCGCCCTCCATCCTTCAACTTTTGCCACACTGAAGCTTCAGGATCACGGATGGTGAGGAACTCTCAAGCGAAACGCCCGGCCCGCCCTACCGACACGCTGGGGATGCGACAGGAAGAAATAACTTACAAGAAAAACTGCTGGAGGAGGAGGGGGACAGCTCTCCGAAGAGCTGTGCGTGCTTCAGTTTCAGTTTCTATGGTCAGCGTTTTCATATTCGGCGTTTCGACATTGGGCGGAAGAGGGGGGGAGGGGAAGGGTCTGGCTCTGGACCTCTGCTTAGTGAGGCTGTTTTGAACCGTGCGTCCTCTGGGGGGAGACTCCACCTGCTTGAAACAGGCGCCAAAAACAGGCAGATCTACTCCACGGGTGGGGGGGAGAGGGGGGGGGCGAGGGCCCGCGCCGATCGGCGAAGCCATGAATAAGAAAACGACCACGTACCCTCCCGCATGTCGGCCCCTGGGGGCTGTTTGGAGCACAGGGGGCCCTCAGAAATGGACACAGGATGAGAAGCCGACCCGGGGAAAGGGGCGGAGGACCTCTCGGGCCGCGGGGTGAACCGCGCGCCACCGCCTGACATCCGGGCGGCGGAGGAGGACCCGGGCCGCCCCGAGCCGGGCGGGGGGCGTCTGTGGCAGCTCTCTCTGCCGCGGGGGGGGGCCCTTGCAGCCCTCCTGCCGCCGTGGGGACAGCCGGGGAAAGTCTTCCTGAAGGGCAGGAGCGCTCTGCTGGCCACGGCGAGCCTCGGCCACGTGATTAGGTCCTCCTCCTCCTCCTCCTCCTCCTCCTCCTCCTCCTCCTCCTCCTCCTCCTCCTCCTCCTCCTCCTCCTCCTGGCCCCGTGGCCTCAGGACCCTGGCGTGTCTGAAGAACATGCCATGCGAGATGCGCGGAGAGCTGATGGAGGAGGGAGGGGGGAGGGGGTCCTCAGAGTCGGCGTCGGCGCGGAGCTTGGCGTGCTTGTGCATGTGGGTGGGAGGGAGAGGGAGGGGGGCAGGGGAAATAGGGCCCCTGTTGGAGGCCTGGAAATGGGCACCAACACCAACACAGGGGATGGCCTCCACAGGGGGAAGATGATCCTCGATTTCGGTGTTGGTGGCAATAGTTCGGCCACCTTGGAAGCCAGAGTATTACCACCATCACCGAGATCGGGATCTTCGTCCCTCGGTGGAGGCGCACCGCCGATCTTGGTGTTGGTGTCAACCTCTAGGCCTGGGCCCCTGCCCCGGATCTGCGAGGAGTGCGCCGAAAACCACAGCCCCTCCTGAGCCCACAGTGGTCCTTTCCTTGACTGTCTCCGCCTCTCGGAGATCTTCGGCCTCCGGGACTAGTCTGGTTGACCCAAGAAGGGGTCCACCTGAAAGGGGGTGGTGCAGTAGGTGTGGGGCAATGGTATTGCTAATGTGTTGCGCCAGAGAACTGCACTGCACTGTATTGTAGCTTATGTACTGCACGCGAAAATCCAGCAACCCATTTGCGCACCGGAATATATTGCACGCGCCACACACAAAATCTATTGCAGCCCCACAAATCTATTGCACCAAATCTATGGCACCACCCCCTTTCAGCTGGACCCCCTTGTGGGTCAAGCAGAACTACAAGAAATGGGACTGGGAGATGAAGTTGTCTCCGACCACAGGTTCGGGAGCTCCGGGGCCACGGAAAAACAAAAATCACATCCATCTCTGAACGCCTAGCGCATCGTGAGAGAAAAAACAAAGGCACGAAGGAAGGTTCTTGCTACAGGTCTCTGCCGACGATAAACGCATGAAGGTTAAATGCCGTTTCCGGCAGAGAATCGGGCCTCTGGCGACATAGAAAGACAGAACTCCAGCGACTGGAACATATCAAGTCTGAGATCTTGCGACGTGTTCGGCCTCCTTCGCATTTTTTCTGAGCAGCACTTTGACAAGCTCGACGACGCTATCGTGAAGCCGCTGAGCTAATTACCCAATTACCCCAAACGCCACGCACATGAGTGAAACTGAAGACACCAGCTGCACACGGAGGTTGCTTTGCGGCGGCGAGCTCAAAACTAAGAATCAGAAGCGCGGGAAAGTGCCACACTGTGCACCCAGGGTCGCTGGACATGGACAGGAGCTGCCCCGCGATGTTCACAACAAGAGGGAGGGAAGGAGGAGGAGGAGGAGGAGGAGAAGGAAAAGGAGGAGGAGGAGGAAAAGGAGGAGGAGGAGGCGGAGGAGGAGGAGGAGGAAGAGGAGAGGGCGAAGGCGTACGTGTGCATCTCCTCTTGTCGAACCGACCAATACCAGCTTCGGCCCCTGGAAACTGGCTTCGGGCCCTAGCATCAGGTCGGGCATGTCCCCCTACAGGCAGATTTGGGATGGCAAATGGGAAAAACAAAAACAAAACAAAAAAAAACATGCTAAAACGAATACCTCCAAGATGCTCAGAAGTAATTCAAACATCGTCCCCAGACTAGTGTTGCCACTATGTTTGAATACTCCTCCTGCAGAGGGACAGGCCTGACAAAAAGGGAAACAGGAGGAGTTAAAGTAGCCTGAAAGAGGGAGAGAGGAGAACGAGGAGGAGATCGCGAAGGCGCACATGTGCATCCCCGATTGTCGAACCGACCACTACCAGCTTCGGCCCCTGGAAACTGGCTTCGGGCCCTGGCACCGTCAGGCAGCTGCGCAGGACGAGAAGGCGCTCCTCGAGAACGGGCCGAGCGAGGCTCGAGCATGTCGAGCCTTCGGGGGTCTGGGCGTTCGACGGAGCCCAGGGACACACACACACACACACAGGAATACACACAAATCCCAGGATTCCCCATTTCCCCATGTGTTCTGCATAGTTTCCCATATGTTCTGGGTTTTCGTCTTACGCGAGATGGCACGGCGACCTTACGCGGTGGCTTACGCGGGCCACCAGCGCGGCACGCCACATTGAAGACGAGGGCGCTTACGCGCCCGCGCGAGCTTACGCGGGCAGCTTACGCGCCAATGTCGGCGCAGACGACCCCGCTTTTTTTGCGTCGCTCATGTGACGCTTTGCTACCCCCGCTTTTAGATCGCCCCGGGGAAGCGGGAGCCCCCGAGACGCCCGAGATGGTCCCAAGAGGGCTCCACAACGGCCCGGCGACGTCCCGACGAAACCCTCCGCAGCTGCCCAAGACGGGCCCCCAAACCGCCCCGACATCTCCAAGATGGTTCAGCTGGGCCTCCTCAGGAAAGATCGACAGAGCCAGATCGCACCCGACAAACACCGAGGCACCCACCGGGCCCCCGAGAGGATCCCAAGAGGCCACAGAGGAGCCCCCAAGAAGCCTCGAGGACCCCCTCAAACAGGAGGAGGGAGGAAGCGGAGGAGAAGGAGCGGTGGCCCTTGGAAAAACGACCTTGAGAAAATTCAGCGCAGGGACACTCTCACCTCCACGTGAATTTCACGAACCCTTCTTCGTGCTTGTCCCAATCGGGGGTGGTGGCTGCGTAGGCACACTGACCCTGCTGTTGGACAGATGCGAGTGGAAAAGAACACATAGAATTAGGATTCAACCGGGATTCAAGCAATGCAGTAGGGGCCCCTCAGCTCAGCAGTAGACTGCTGTACGAGGCACAGGCGGCGCCTAACAGACGGGCTGGGGCCGACAGCATCTGCGAAGATTATTGTGGCAATGGCCCCGCGGGCGCGTCGGCAGACGAGCTCGCGGCAGCTGAGGACAAGGAGGGGGGGGGGAGGCTAAAACCCACGACAATCCATGATGCATGTTCCGTGTGCCGACCAGGAAGACAGGGATACGGTCGGGACTGATTGGAGAGGCCACGCGAGAGGACACAAGACCCTCCCGAGAGCCACCATTGCCACAGGAACGTAGATGGCACGGGTCGCGAAGCACAGGACACCAGACCACCCTTGATCTGGCAGGGTCGACCTACGAATCAGCCTCGACTGCACGAGAGGGGATGATGGGGGGGGCGTGCGAGTCCTGAGGTCGGCCGCTGGGACCCACCAGAATTCTTATGACATCTGGCGTCCGTGGCCCACATAAAAAGGGAAGACCTTGACCATACCCTCGGCTGGCTTCACCACCGCCACGTCGACGATAAAAAACCTCACGTCACGAGCAGTGTTGCCAGCGCTGCCGCTGCGACCACGGGAGTGATGCGAACCATCGCCATGACGAACTTCTCTTGATTCATCGGTATATTATTCTGCGCCAAGATGCCAACCCACAGCGGCCCCGCCAGCGCACCGATGAGCGTCACGTTGGCACCGAGGTTGGAACCCACGATCAGGGCGCGCTGTGCGATCTGTCCGGCACCCTGCCCAACGTTGAAATTCGAGTGGGTCAATATTTTCGTAAACAGCACGGTCATCGGCTGATTGTTCAAACATTGGCATGCGACGATTGATGCCACGCCGATGCCGAAGCTGGCTCCGACTCTGCTGCCTCCGATGGCTGCGCTGGCCACGCGCGCCATCGCCGAGACGACCCCCGTGATGTCCAGAACCTCCACCATGAAGAACAGCGACAGCGCGAAGGGCGCCACCTCCCAGGGCATCTTCGCCAAGGTGCTCCAGCAACCGGATTGTGTCCCGTCCGACCCGGCCAAGTCCATCGAGATATCCATGACCAGCGACAGCACAAACACGACCCCGACGCTTTGCCACAGTGGCACGGAGGTGACCGAATCCAAGGTTGCGAACATCAGCAGCAGCACCAGCCGGCACGCGCAGGCGCCGGCGCGGAAGGGCTGCAACGGCGTGGCGCCGGCGTCCTGGTCGGCGACTTCCCCGCCTGGCCGTTGCGCTATCACGGTGGCCGGCACCGTGCGAAAGCTCGAGAGGGACAGTGCATAAATCACGCCGACAGCCGTCACGCCACTAGCAATACCAGCGGGCGCCATGCTCCTGAAATACGTGCTGAAATTGAATCCAGCGGCGTCGGAAACGATCATGTTGGTGGGATTGCCGATCTCCAAGATGATCGACCACACGTTGGCTGTGACGAACTCCAGATACACGAAAGGGTGAGGGTCGTAGCCCTTGGCCGCACAGAGGTGCAAAATGACAGGCGTCAATGTGAGGATAACGATGTCGTTCGACGTCAGCAGAGTCAAAACACCCGTGAGGCAGGAGACTGCAAGGAAGACACTGCCAGGGCTGTTCGTCTTAGATGCCACCTTCAAGGCGACGTGCCGCAGCAGGCCAGTGCCATCAAGGGAAACACAGATGTAAGCCATGCCGAAAAATACGACCATGACATGAAGAGGACAAAGTTTTGGAGTGCCGATGAGAGCAATCCACGCCGTGGACAGTGGCACACCGCTGAACATCAGCAGGATGACAAAGCCTGGAGGGACCGTGCGCATGTCAAAAGTAATACCGATGATCTCAACCTTTCGCAAAGCAAACAGAGCCGACAGTTGTATCCCCAGCAGAGGCGTATACACAGGTCCCGAGCCGTTGGCCACCTGGCGTACGCAGAACATGTCAATGCCAGTGGTCACGAGGGTCGCCGCTGCTGAGCAGCCCACCTGAAGCAGATCCAGACGCCCGACGCGACCAACTCGCACTGGCGACTGGTCATCCTGGTCCTGTCGGGTCGGATGAGAGCAGGGGGAGTACAGGGGTTTCCCGAATCAGCTTACACATCTGATTCTCCCACCGCCTCCCGGCGACGAAGGTGCACATGTGTCGAGGAGGGCGCCCAGCGGCGAGGCAGAAACCAGCTGCATACAGCAAATGTACACCCCCTTTCCCTCTCGCCCGGCTTCCGTCCGCCACGAGAGATCCTCGTCGCTGGGCTTTCGGACCATCAACTCGAATCTCTGGCGGACGCTCGGGACGATTCGGACACCCCTGGAACAGGGCTGAACCTAAAAAACTGTGCTTTTCGTCTTCGGTTCGGTTTCGTTTTCCCTCGCTTTTGACTCGAGTCCGCCTTTACCGCAAAAAACGAAATCGAAACGAAAGCGGCCCCCGAAATCACCAAAAACACCGCTTATTGAGGGATGAAAAACGAAAACGACCCTGCCCTGGGTTACAAGTGCGTGGGTCTGTCACGCAAACCCTCAACCCACAGGAGTTTGGCCTCGCAAACCCGTGCCCTTGAACTCAGAGCCCCTAGAGGCCTCCGTCTCAGGATCTCACCGCATCGGCACGATGCATCGGCGATGCATCGGCCATTGGCGACGTCGGCGACGCATCGGCGTCGGCAATCCCGCATCGAGACGATCGCCGATGCATCGGCGATGCGGCACGATCCTCCGATCTGCTCCGAGCTGTAGGAGGAGGAGGAGGAGGAGGAGGAGGAGGAGGAGAGAGGAGGCGGAGGCCTGGAGAAACGCTGCCGCCGAGGCGCAGCGGCTGCATGGCGACCCCGAATGCTGCAGAAACCCGCCGGGGGCCGACGGTTCAGCGCCCGAAGGCTCCAGGCCCCCCTGGGTTGAAGGGGCCCTGGGACACACAAAAATAAATACACACACACATCACAGGATCCCCCATAGTTTCCCATGTGTTATGGTATTTTTGTCTCTCCCCCCCCCAGTTCCAATGTCTTCCCATATCTTCCGGGGAATCGGCGGTGGATTGTGTCTCTGTGTGTGTGTGTTTTTCCCCTCCGGGCTCGTCCGCCCCGATCCTGCCCGCGCTCGTGCAAGCTCGGCGCAGCGTGCCCGACGCCTCTGCGCTGGGCGGCCGCGCCCGCGCCCTCCAGCGGAAGCGCCGCGCCCACCTCCACCGCGTCGATGGACGTGCTCCTGTGGCGAGCCTTGAGCTCCGCGACGTCACCGCACGGCCACGAGTGCAGGCGCTTGAACTCGAGGAGGCTGCCAGCGTCGCTGTCGAGCGCCCCGTCTTCGCTGGCGAGGACGTCGCCGACAAGGAACGCGGACGGGTTACCAACTGAGCATCGCTTAATCGCTCCCTGACCCCACTGGCGTGGCCTTGGCCCCACTGGCCGGCGTACCCATCTAGGACGGGCCATCTGCATTTCCCTTCGGCGTGGCCTATCCACGCATATGGAGAGTGGACCAGTGGGGCTGAGATGCCACGGGCCGGTGGGGACAGGAGATAGATTAAAGGCTGCTGACCAACGGAGAGGTGCTGCTCGTCGTCGCAGACGGGCGCCCCGTCGTCGCCGGCGAGGCCTCGAGGGGCGGCCGTCGCCGGGCGCCGGACGGGCCTCAGGCTGGCCTCGGCCCTCCGGAGCAGCTGGGCTGGTGCGGCGAGGGGGCCGAGGGGGGAGGACCTTGCGCTTCTGCTCATGCCTGCGCCCCCCGGCGCACAGCCAGCCCGTGGCGCGGGCTCGAGAGAACGTGCCACTGAGAGACCCCGCGGCCTCGTGGTGCTGACGCCTGCTGCTGCCGACGCTGACATCAATGACTCATTGACCAGACTGCAAGTGACATGCAGGCTGCTGCTACTGGTTGTTGCACTGTTGGTGCCACCAGGGATTGCTGTTGGCTCGTTCCAGTCCCTCTGACAAGAGGAGCGACGAAGCGACGGCCGTCACACAGACCCGCACTGAGAGGCACACTATGATGTCGGCAGCAGTTGCGGCAGCCCAACGGTACAGAAAGCAACACTGCATGAGACGCAAAAGGCGCCCGTCATGGTGCTGCTCTTCCTCTGCTGGGATGCGATCACTCGGCGCCGGGTTCCGAGTGAACTGCTCGAGTGCTACGAGGCCGCCCCGAGCACTGACCCGACTGATCAGCCATGGAATTGCCGCCTCAGGGCCGCAACCGGTGAGGTCAGCCCTCGGGCAGCCCTGGCGTCACCTGGTAGGGCTTTGCCCGACCGAGCGCTGACCCGAGCCTTCCTTCTGGACCCGAGGCACCGGCGCGTCCCCGTGTTTCCATGGGACGCAAGAGGATATACCAGCTCCTCCTCCTCCTCCTCCTCCTCCTCCTCCTCCTCCTCCTCCTCCTCCTGCGGCCCCCTTTGGAGGTGCGCGCCCAGGCCGAACATATTGCCACAGACATCATGTCCAGCATGCACCTTTCGCGCAGCGCCCCCGACGCACACATGGTATAACTACGGTGGGGGCATTGGATAAGGAACCCTTAGACAAGGAATCCAGGGTCTGGAGGCCGGTGGCACTCCAATCGAGGCTTGGCCATGGATAGTCACCTCCGCCCTCATCAGAGAAGGGATCCTCCAGGGCCTGCAGCCTCCTGGGCACATTCCTTCATCAACGCCCCCACCGTACACGTCGTTCATTTCTAATCTTGCTCTTTCTAATTGTGCTGTGCTCGTTTCTAATTGTTCCTGGCCCCCTAGTGGCCAGGAACAATGAGAAATGAAAGGATCTTGGCCCCCGAAAAACCAGACAACTTTCGAAGAACTAGACAAGAACTAGACATTAAGCATATGTTTGGGTGGTGCCGATTCCAGGCCGCTGGGTGCCGCGAGGAGTGCTCGCGCAGCTGCCCCCCGCGGCTCGGGCACCGCTCGCGCGCCCCCTCCCGAGGGCGAACGGGGGGCCGCCGAGCAGCACTCCGCCACGCCGCGCGCCGTCCGCGCCAGCAGGGCCGCCCACGCGGACGGCAACGCACGGCTCCAGACGGAAGGCACGGCACGTCTGTCGGGGGTGGACAGAACCCCCTCCTCCTCCTCCTCCTCCTCCTCCTCCTCCTCCTCCTCCTCCTCCTCCTCCGCCTCCGCCTCCGCCTCCTCCTCCTGCTCCTCCTTTACAGCCGAACATATGATCCAGAAAGTCATCACTTAAGAAGCCTGGGCCAATTTTCTGGAAATGTCTTAAGACAAGAATGGCCAAGCGATTGTGTCAACGCTGGAGAGGCGAACGCGCTCGAGAAACTGAGCCAGCTTTCCGGCAAGCTGGCTAAGAAACGCTGGCCCAGCTTTTCGAAAGAAGGTTTTCAGTAGATGATCGAATGTAGTAAAACGTGGTTTGGTGAAAACGACCTCGTGCCCCAACCTGGCGGGCGCGAGCCTGGAAAAGGACGGCCGCGGCGCCCTCTCGAGAACCGAGAGCGGACCATCCACTAACATCGACGTGTCAGGGTGGGGGTCCTGTCCACCCCCGAGTCTTGCGGGAACTACCCAGATCTCCGACGATCTGATTCCTCCATTCAGACTTCGACCTCTCGGAGTCGCGCTCGGGCCCCGGACACGCCAAAAGCGGATCTCCGGGGCGCAAAACTGCCCCCTGGGGGGGGGGTCGGGAGGGGAGCTCTGGGGGGCGCGAGCTGCAGAAGTCGCATCGGCCGATGTCAGGGCAGTCGGCGAGGCCGAGACCTCTACACAGCCGCAGCTCGGGGAGCCGACATCCCAGGGGCTCTCCGGCGCCGGCCCGCAGCCCCCCCCCCCGAGCGGGCCCCGCCCGGCCCCCGGGGGGCGCCCGGCGGGGCCGCGCACGGCCGGCGCCCACCGCGGGCCGGCACGGCCAGCGCTGCCCGGCGAGGCGCACGGCCGAGGTGCACGGCAGGGCCGCCAGCGCACAGGGCGCGAGGGGAGGGGCCCAGACCCCTCGCGGCGCAACACAAAAAGCACGGCGGACGGGTGCGTTCTCTTTGGGAGGGGGGGAGGGGAGGGGGCAGCGTTCGCCCCCGGGAGCCCTCGCTGGGCCCCGAGGGCCGCCAGAAGCTGCTCGGGATGCCGGAGGGGGGGGGATGGCGGCACGGAGGCCGCAGGCGTGGCACTCCTCTCGATCTTGTCCTTGTTGCACACGGACCCGTCCAGCAGCGAGCAGGGGCCCGCGTTGGGCGAGTAGACGGTGTAGACCTGCTCCGAGCACTGCAGCGGCGAGGGCAAAAAGGGGCTCAGGCAGGAGGGCTCGGCCACCTCACGCGCAGGCCGCCAGCGCGGTAGGCCACGTGCAGAAGAGGGCGCGCCCGCACGACCTCACGCGGTACCCTCCCACCCCTTTTTGACGTCGCTCGTTCGGGCATGACGAACTCAACGGGTCGAGGAGGACGAGGGTGAGGACGGCGACGAGGAAGATATCAATGCCGACGATGCGAGGATGAAGACGGTGAGGCGGTGAGGCGACGAGGAGGGTGAAACTGTCATGCAACGCCCTCTTCTTCGCCAAAGCTGCGACGCCTTCAGGACCTCGCGAAATCGAAGCACTCGCCACCATTCCCTGAGGAGGAGCTCTCCTCCCTCCTCTCTCCCCCTCCATCCCTCTTCCTGCTCCCCCTCCTCCCTCCGCTTCCCTCTCGCCTCTCCTCCCCACTAATGATCATCTCTCCTCCCTCCTCCCCTCCCACCCCAGCTCCCCCCTGCCCTCCTCCTCCTCCTCCTCCTCCTCCTCCTCCTCCTCCTCCTCCTCCTCCTCCTCCTCCTCCTCCTCCTCCTCCTCCTCCTCCTCCTCCTCCTCCTCCCCTGACTTCCGACGTCGTGACGTCTGCACCACGGGGGCTGCCGGGGACCTCCGACCCCTCCCCCAAGGCAGGGCCGGCACGCCATCCTGCGCCGTTGTTTCCTAAACAGCCTTCACAGAAGCCGAACAACAAGAGCGTGAAGAGAGCGACCGCCGCCGCTCCCTGCTGCGACGCCCCCGGATCCTCGGGTTAAGTCGGGCTTGTCCCCCTACAGGCGGACTTTGGGCGAAAAATGAAAAATAGTATAAAAAAGACCACCAAATGGTCCAGAACAGTCGGAAAATCGTCCCCAGGCTATTTTTTACCATTTTTGAATATTCCTCCTGTAGAGGGACGTGGCCAACTTAATCCTCGGGCCCCCTCCTCCACAGACATCCTCCGATGCAGTCGGGGACGATTGGAGAGGACCATCGCGCCTGGAGGTCCAGAGACGGCACGACCCGCAAGCCTCGACCCTCGATCCTCGAAGCCACGCGCTGCTCGGGCCAGCGACGGCAGTGCCGCCAACGAGCGCCGGCCACGAAGCACAGTCGGAGGAGGAGGAGGAGGGGGAGGAGGAGGAGGAGGAGGAGGAGGAGGAGGAGGAGGAGGAGGAGGAGGAGGAGGAGGAGCAGGAGGAGGAGGAGGAGGAGGAGGAGGAGGAGGATTAGAGAGGGCACGAGAGAGGGCACGAGACCCTTCCGAGGGCCACATTGCCATAGGAGTGTTAAGGAGGCACGGGTCGCGAAGCTCGGGACACGAGGGCACCCTCGATCTGGCTGGGTCGACCTGCGAATCAGTCTCGACTGTGCCCTCCGCGGCCTCAGGGCTTTCGGGAACTCCGCGGCCTCAGGGCTTTCGGGAACTTGAGAGCTGGGCACTCCTCCTCGTCAAGGGGGGGAGGGGGGAGGGGGACGGGACGAGGAGGAACGGAGGAGGAGGAAGAGCGCGACAGATGGGGCGAGGGGGGAGGAGGGCGACGGGACGAGGGCGGAGGAGGGCGGCGGGCCGAGGCGGAGGGGGAGGGCGGGGCGAGAGGGGGGCGACGGGGGCGACGGGGGAGGGGAGGGCGGGAGGGCACCCGCGGGCGGCGGGGGCGCGGGGTTCTGCGCCCCCCGCGGGCGGGGCCTGCGCCTCCTCGTTGCCGCGCCTCGGGGAGGGGGGCGGTGGGCCCTGACCTCCGCGCGCTGCGACAGAATATTAAAAAAACAAAACAACAACAACAACAACAACAACAACAACAACAACAACAATCATTATACCCGAACGCTCAGTGTTCTCCCCAGTGCCAGGGTTTTCATGCGACGCCAGCCAATACCCCCACTTCGTGGGGGGGCAATGCAAGCTCTACCAAACATCCACACGACTCTCGGGAACCACCCACACCCAGCTTCCCGCCCTATGACGTCAGGACACTTCACTTCGTGGCGCGCGGACGATCGTGGATACTACACTGGCGTGGAGTACACACCCGCAGAGGTTGATCACCCAATGATTTTTGGAGATTTCGGCGTGCGCGCGCGAAGAAAAAACGAATATGTCCCGCATGGTATTATTTGACAGGGATGATGGCCCTGGCAGGTGCGCAAACGTTGTCGCAGAAGTTCGAAAAAGTTGCTCGCAAAAGCCCGTTTGACAGAATTGTTTAAAAAGTGTTGGTTTTCCTACGAATCCGCAAGAGCGCGCGGAAGACATTTTGACAATTTTTTCTTAAAAAACCATTGGGTTTTTGATGTTTTTATGTTAAAATCGCTACGAAACCTAAGGTTTTGGAAGGATTTCGTCTTGCGCGCACGAATGTCCACTTTACCTTATTTTTTGCAAGGGATTCTTGCAATTTGATCAAGTAAGAACAAGAATTTTCATTTTATAGTGTTTTTTGCA